AGACATTTAGAGGTAGTTTCTTTCCACAAACAGTTATTAAATTGGAATGCCTTACCTAACCACCTGGTAATGGCCAAGACAATTGAGCATTTTAAAGCTGGGGTAGCCAGCCATTATGGCTTCCCTAGGTGTACCCAGCTGTAGGAATGTGGCCAAAGCCCAGCTACGACTTCTGTATATAGTTACTGCACTCGTTTTTGTTCTTGTTTGTTTTTTAACACCACCACAGGGAATAACCACTCCCCTAAATAAATAAGCACTATGCCCCGCGAGGGGTTTTGCTTAATATTGTATAGATGCAGATGATGCTATGCCAAAAGGCGGTTATACCTGCCATTCAATGTAAATAGAGAACGTGATGTTAGGAGTCAATAAGTGACTGGTTATGGGAAAAGATTTGGACAGTTTATTGAAGTGTTGTTATTTTAAGTTTTATCAACATGTTATTTAATCTCAATAAACCGTGATGATTATTTCATAGACCTGAGTTTCAAGTAAAGTCCTCGCAATCATTGCCTTTTAATGATGATCTAACAAAGAGGTCGAATTCCTTACATGGCGTCTCTTCTTTACAGGTCAAAAATGTAACAGTACAGCAACTATGAAGGACCGTTACTTCCTCGTAACATGGGAACTGACCCATGATGACTGTACGTCAACCTTGAGTTAACAAATATTTAAATTTACTTAGCGAAAGTTTTTGATATTCAGACGTGGTTGCAACATTGCCTTGCTATGAATGATGTAAACAAGCATCGGGATTTAATCTTGTACGTCACGGCTGCCAGTCATGCTGTTGTTGATACAAATGAACCAATAAACATTAACAAAAACAAACGTTTAAAATAAACTAAAAAATGTTTTGAAAATGTGAACGTTAACAAAGACCTCCGTCGACTGTATTCATGATTATCTCCGTTAAGAGTGCTTTGCTTCTGGCGTTAACACATTTATCTTATGGCAGTTTTGTATTCTATGGGAGACTTATTTTGTAGGATCTTGTAGCGGCTACTTTTGTGACTCAGCTGCTTTCTTGAAGCTGTTGTGTGCATTCGTCGTATACTCTAGGCCTTGTAGGGAAGTGGCGTTTTATATTGCAACCTAATTAAGTAGCTTTTAATGGTGGCTGTGTATTTGCAGGATTTTAACGAGGGGGTGCGAGGGGTGAGAAGAAAGAGTGATACACCGACAAGCACAAAGAGACAAACATGAAGTGAAATATCTACAAACTTGATATGAACACTTCAAAAACCATATGAAAACCCTTTCACAGTACACACTAACATCGAAGAAATACACAGGCATTGGATTTTGTTGGCATTTATTTCAGCTAAAAATGCACCCTAACAAACATAAAGCCCAATTTACATGAGTAAAAGCAATATTCTGCAATGTTGGCAGGCCAATATGAATCTACAGTACATCAGGAACGTTTATACCAGTTGGAGATCAGCCATGTAATTGTATAGTTGTATCCAATAGTATTTTCTGATAACGATTGACTTTTGCATTATACACCTCGAAGTGTGGTTATGTCGCTAAGTGACCGTAAACTGGTCCTGCACATAAACTGGTAACCTTGCGTTACACCGGCACCACGCACGCCTGTCGGCGGGTCAAACACAGACCTACCGGACCCCACCCACCCAAGATTTTCAAACACTAGATTTTTTAACTCCGCCCCATCATTGTTTCGTGCCGAACAGTAAAGTACATCTAGCTAGTGTTTTTACGTCGTTCTGGCAGATATAGTGCATCTCAAAGTAAATTTCTGTGGCATTTAAGAAGATTTACAAAATGAAATATTGATTACAATTTCTATTAACTCGAGCTTTGTAGCGGCATGGAGACTTAGAAAAAGTTTCATGAATTTCTTCATTGAAGTTCTTATGTTTAACTTGAAACAGGTATTGGTAACATCCATGAACTGACTATTGAGTCATATAGAGTGACTATTGAGTCAATATAGAGTGGCATATCTATGAAGTTATTTCCAAGCAGATGCGAGGTTGCATATGTAAATTACAACTGTTACATATAAACTAATAGCGCGCCGAAATGCCAGCTTTTTGCAGAGGCATTTGTTTAATTTTATGTCATAATCTCTATAGTTGAAACTGCATTTCTGCCATTCATTCAATTGTGTTCTGAAACTTCACTATTTTATATCAGTAACGTTTAGCTTCATGTGCACAGAAAATCAATGTGACTTCAGCAATGCATTCTACTATAAGTAGGAATGCACACCAAACAAGGCTACACAATGGGATTGCATTTAGGATTGTCGTAAGCGGTACGAGTAGCTTCGGTGGTAGATGTTGCCGACTTGGACCTGCAGAATTTGCAAGAGATGAACAAAACTGCGGCAACAAAAACAACCACACCAAAAACTGAGCCAACAATGGTGGCCCATGTGAGCGTATTGCTGGTATAGACGGGCTCGGGGATGTACTCGAGATTTGCCGTCACGATGTTGGAGGGATCAGCGCAGTTGTCCGCTTCGTCACACATGCTTACGGCGAAGACGAATGTGACGTTGTGGCCTCGGTCTGGCACCAGGATGACGATGGTCATGGCCGAGCCGGGTTCCGGCGGTGACGTTAGGCTTCCCTGCAGCACTTGCGACTGGTTGACTGAAGCTGAGCCGTGAAAGTCGTCTGCAAGCTGGTCAAAATGGCGGCTGTAACGGATATCAACATGGTGGGCTGGAAAAGAGAATTATTCAGATATGGGAGAGATAAACGCATAAGATTGGTGTGTATGACTGGTTGTGACCATATATCGCTCTACATTCCATCAATTAATTCATTTTTAAACAGAGCAAGAGGCCATATAGAGGCTTTTAAACACACCTGGGCCTCCCTGGTCGAAGTCGTCTCCGAGCGCTGTCCAACTCAGAGTCACGGTTGCGTTGGCGTAGGAAACTTTAACCACCACGAGATCATCCACCCGGGACGGCGGCAGCATGTCCTGTCCAGAGATACCACCACTGGGAATCCCTTTTGTACTACGATGGCTTTATGTAAATGAATGCCTAGTGTTTGCATTTCATAGTGGATAACTAGCCTTTAAGGCCTTGTTTTCGAGCAGATAAAATAAAAAAAACATTTTGTTGTCTTACAATGCTCCACATGTGTGGCAGCATTAGCTCAGAATTATTGGTTAACAACATATTATATCTAACAATAAATCACATTATTGTAACAATATGTTCCAACAATTCCTATGTTCCTCAGTTACAATTTGTTTTACGCTTAAGAACGCATTGTTATAGTAACATAGAGATTCGGTGCACTGTGGACCATGCAACACTTAGTTCCACTACACAGTAAACCACATTAGCCCTGATGAAGATGTTTGGTTGTGAATAAAGATAAAGAAAACTACACTTGTTTTGACATAAAATCGATATTTTTTAGTGAGGGATGGAATCCAGGACAGCCTGATTCTGAATCATAGCTCTCATTCAGACGAGCACAAGACTGTGGACAGTACTGTCAAAGCCCCCTGGCACCCATTTGTGGGACAATGTTGCACTACTAGGGCAAAAATAAAAATACGTGCATCACCCGAGACATAATGGCACACCACATGTCAAATTACACAGAAATGCTACGTACGGAACAATGCTTTTTGACTGCGAACATCTTAAAGATTCGGCCTCATACTTTATACATGGGGATAAAACATATGGTACCACTAATCGACCCCTTAACACATCTGCCTGAAGCATGACCGACCGCCCCCCCCCCCCATTTCAAACAACGGTTTTTTTCTGGACCATTCCAATTTGCCTCATAATTGTAGGGGTGCATCTGCAATATTACATTGACCGCGAAAACAGCAACGACAAAAATACACTTTCGTGCATCAACCCGGGTATACCCGCAGACGGCGTATAAAATTGCATGCCGATTACACAGAGAGAACCCCGTGTAATAGTTGCGAACACAAAAAAGCGCTTCACAGTACTCCGTCCGGAGGTCCTGACCTCCTTCACGGAGTAAGAATTTTACCATATCTTTTACCCACAAACTAAACAGGGACGTTAACGTTACTCACAATCAACACTACTTATTATTACTTCCAGCGTACTGATGAGCTTAGATGCGTACAGAACTCGATGATCTATTCCTCCTACAGGCACTAGTATTGGGACACCTTGCAACGAAATGTTTAGTACTCCCACAACCATAAAATGTCTGAGACTTTGCCGTGCTGTATGATGCTGACGGGAGCACTGTGTCTGATACTGATAATGCGAATGAGAGGACTCCTGCTACCTCGATTGTGTAAAATAAGGCGCGGCACGCCTTGAGATCTTCCTGGCTGCTTCAATAGCAGTCCTCAAGTCCTAATAAGTCCCTCAGCTTATCAGCTGCGCTGCTTCGTAGTCTTCCGCTTTCCTGTGCCTTTCTATCCTCGCCGCTACAGCCAAATCCTCAACTAGCCTCAGGGCTACTGACGGGTCAAACATGCTGTTCGGTCTCGATGTCATTTCTCTTATATCCCCCAGGAGAGCCTTGACACTATGACACCCTTTTCTCATACCCTTCCACCTTAGTTTGGAGTACCGTCATCATTCTGAACAATTCCTCACCGCATTTTCACATCCACACAGACTAGGATTTCACTGAGTTTTTTTTTTACTACCAAGAAATATCTCCCCACAGGATTGTCACCACACAGAATTTTAACCAACCTGGATTCACCGTTTTTTCTAAATTCTCAGAAACCACTTCACACAATTCTTACAAGTCAGGGTTCTTTCACAGTCTTTACCACACTTATATCACCACACATGTAGCAGAATTTCGACTACCCAGGATTTAACAGCGTACTTTTACAACCCAGAGATATCTCCACAGATATTTCCACCCAGGATTTTCACCACACATGTTCTCTTGAATAAGTCTTGCAGAAGCTCTGTCATAATCATAATTATCCTTTACACAATAAACAAGACTGGACCGTTAAATATATTAAGCACATAAGTTTAATAAGCACACCAAGTCTCAATATGAATAAAGAAAAGAGATGAAATCTTGGAAAAGATAGAACTTAGGGCCAAGTTTTCCAGCTTTCGGTGATTTGCTTGAGCTAATGTCATGACAAACAGTGCTAGTAACAATTGTGCCACTAGATAATGTACTAGATATCAGTAATGGTAACAATTGTGCCACTAGATATTGTACTAGATAACAGTGCTAGTAACAATCGTGCCACTAGATATTGTAACTAGATAACAGTGCTAGTAACAATTGCGCCACTAGATATTGTACTAGATAACAGTACTAGTAACAATTGTGTCACTAGATGTTTTACTAGATAACAGTGCTAGTAACAATTGTGCCACTAGATATTGTACTAGATAACAGTGCTAGTAACAATTGCGCCACTAGATATTGTACTAGATAACAGTACTAGTAACAATTGTGTCACTAGATGTTTTACTAGATAACAGTGCTAGTAACAATTGTGTCACTAGATGTTTTACTAGATAACAGTGCTAGTAACAATTGTGCCACTAGATATTGTACTAGATAACAGTGCTAGTAACAATTGTGCCACTAGATATTGTACTAGATAACAGTGCTAGTAACAATTGCGCCACTAGATATTGTACTAGATAACAATGCTAGTAACAATTGTGCTACTAGATATTGTACTAGATAACAATGCTAGTAACAGTTGTGCAACTCTTTGTATTCCTGGGATCGACATCAAAGAAGAGATATACTAATTAACAATGGTTACAATTGCCGATTTCAGCTTCTGGAATTCCCCATCTTTTCATAAAATTATCGGCAATGACAATGGAGTTTATTGCATTTAATGGGGCTAGAATTGTACGTTAACCACATGTAAAGAATGGAAAGACTATGTTATATGTATGCTTCCAAGTTTGTTCTCTTTCTTTTTGAGATATTTATGGACGGATTTATATGAGTTATATGTATATTCAAAGTTCTTCAAAGGTAATAGGATTGCCATAATCTGAATATAAACTCTTATCCCACATCAGGGACGCCCTAACCATACAGATTCTTGCCTTTCTGCGATCACCCAGCTTCCTCCATGTGTTACCCAACTGGAGAAATAACAGCATTATGTCGGGATTTGCAGTTTGTTCACCATTCAAACTAAGTCTCATAGCTAGTGCGTTTTCATAGTAGTTAACAGCTTTTATGTGATCGCCAAGGTCACTCCATGTGTTACCCAAGCTGCTAAGTGACACGGCGATGGAAGGATGCATCATACCATAGATACTCCTGTTTACCTCTAGTGCCTGTTCATGATATGTGACGGCCTTTCGGTGCTCACCAAGGTCACTCCAAGCGTAACCTAAGTTGTCCAATGACTGTGCAATGTCAGGATGTGCCTTGCTGTCATCATAGACTCTCTGCCTCATCTGTAGTGACTGCTCATAATAGTAGACGGCTTTTCTGTGATCACCAAGGCGCCTTAAGTCGTTGCCCAAGTTGTTAAGTGACGTGGCGATATCTGGGTGTTTACTGCCCTGACCATAGATACTCCACCTCATGTGTAGTGATTTTTCATGATAGTTGAACGCCTTTTCATGATCACCAAGGTAACTCCAGCTGCAACCTAAGTTGTTAAGTATGTCGGAGAAAACAGGGTGAGCTTTTTCCTCACCATGGATACTCCGCATCATGTGCAGGGACTGTTCATGGTAACTGACAGCCTTTCTGTGATCTCTCAGTTCATTCCAGGCGTTACCCAAGTTGTTGAGTGACGCGACAATACTGGGATGTGCCGTAGCCTTACCATAGATACTTCGCTTCATCAGTAGCGATTGTTCATAATAGCCCACAGCTTTTGTGTACTCACCGAGGCCATAACAGGCGGCACCCAAGCTGGTAAGTGACTGGGCGATCTCTCTATGTGCAGTCCCCCTACCATAGATTCTCCGCCTCATGCTTAGAGACTGTTCAATACAGCTGACAGCCTTTCTGTTATCACCAAGATTTTTCAAGGCAATACCTAAGCTGTTAAGCGACTGGGCGATAACAGGGTGTGCAGTGCTCTTACCATAGATCTTCCACATAATCTGTAATGACTGTTCATAACAGTTGACGGCTTTTCTGTGTTCACCAAGGGTATCAAATGCACTACCCATGCTGATAAGCGAGGCAGCGATTTCAGGATGCACAGTGCACTCACCATAAATACTCAGCCTCATCAGTAGTGACTGTTCATAATATCTGAGGGCCTTTTTGTGGTCACCAAGGTCACTCCAAGCGTCACCCACGTTTGTAAGTAAGTGGGCGATATCAGGATGTGCATTGCTCTTGCCATAGATAGTTCGCATCATCTCTAGTGAGTGTTCACAATAACTGAGGGCCTTTCCGTGATCACCAAGCTCCCTCCAAGTGGTACCCAAGCTATTAAGTGAGTAGGCGGCGTCAGGATGTGCAGTGTCCTTGCCATAGATACTCTGTGTCATATGCAATGACTGTTTGTGATAGCTGAGGCCTTTCATGTGGTCACCAATGTCATTCCAGACGTTACCCAGGTTATGAAGCGCAGCGGTTATGTCACGGTGTGCAGTGCTCTTACCATGGATACCCCGCAACATCTGTAGGAATTGCTCATAGTATTCTAAGCATTCTTGGTAATCGCCGAGGTAGATACAGGCGTTACCCAGTTTCTTAAGTAAGTCGGCGATGTCAGGATGGATGGCGCTGGGTCCGTGTCGACATAGCTCTGTCTGAAGTGCTTGTTTCGTGCATTGTTTCGAGCTGTGGTAGTCACACAGGCTTAGATATATTTCTGCTTGTACTTTTGAGGACTTGTCAAATAGAATTGATGGCCCTTCTGTAGGTAGTGGTTGCCTGTTACGAAACTGTGAAACAAGGCGCTTTAGTGGTATTGCCGTATAGTAGTACCTCATGAGTTGCTTGGAATTTGAGATGTAGAACACTTTATTTGATAGTTCCCCGATGTCAGAAATGGTTGCCCATGACGATAAAGCTGACATGTTTTCCACTTGACCCCCATTGTTCATGTATGTCCTAAGCCTCAGTTCTGCTGAGATGCTGACCAGCACCATCAAGTGATGCGCATTCTCAGCACTGATAGCTCCGTTCTTGCGCATCTTTTGGATTGTCTCCCACATTGTTGTCGGCTGTATGTCAAAAAGTAGTGCCCAGCAAGACACTGCAAGGCTTGAAAATCGGTAGATTTCTTTCTTTACATCTAGCATTCTGCCCGTCAGACCCTGTTTGTGAAATTTTTCACTATTTTCTTTCAACATATCTTCTGCTACAAGACTGACCAGTTCCTTATCACTATCTTTAAGTCGTTGATCCCACAATGCCATGTACTCATCAACCAGGTCTTGTTCTCCGGTAATCAATGAAACATTACCCAAGACACTTGCTAGGTGGTAGCCTTCTTTGAGGTAAAGCGTAATGTCATCCTCTAGAACTTTGGTCATTTCACGAGGTGTGTGGATAAGGAGACATGTTTTACCCCTGCCTAGTGGGGTTTTACATGCATGTGGCATAGCTCCATCAAAAGAGAACCCACGTGGTGTTACAGAGTCGTAGAACCAGTTGTCTAACTTGTTATCTGACTTAAAGTCATTGAGAGACTTGATTGCCATGGCCGGGAGGATGGTTTCACCTAGATTGATCACTTTTAGATGCAGGTAGTGTGTTAGATTTTGAAAATATTCCACAATGTTGTTGATCTCATTCTCTATCAAAATGGCAAACTCCAGATCGGAGTATGGTGTTACCAAACCTGTGGCGTGTGAACCAAGGCCTATCATGGCATACTTGCAGGGAGGGGGGCCCATTACCTCTATGCATTCATCTACAAGGTGAGATATGAATGCTTTTCGCTGGTAGACGATTGTGTCAAACAATGATTTGATCGCCTCCACTCTCATCTTCTCTACTTCCCTTATCTTCAGGTCGTCATCATCAAGGCTGTAAGGATCAACCTGTTGCTCAATCTTTTTGATCTCTTTTTCCACATAGCCTCTGCATTCCAATAATATTGATTTGTGTCTCTCCACGTCATCTAAGGGTACTGTTTGTTCGATATCTAGAACGTGCTTAACAAACGACTGGGTTACCTTCTGGATCTCTTGTTTGATGCCATCTCTGTCTTCGTTTTTTGATCTTACCAGTGCTGCGTTACTGAGTGCTGCAGCCTTGGTGAAGTCACCTCCATCTTTGGACTGAATTCCTTTCTGAAGGTAGACATTGCTCAGCTTGCACATGGACTCTGCTTCTTGCCTTTGCTGATCTGCATCTGAATCTGTACATGCATTAAATGACAACGAAATTCTATTGGTCGTTAACGTTAACCTTCTTCCTTTTTTGAAGGTTAGTAGACATATGGTGTGGCGCACTATCCTTAATTGTGCACATTGATTTACTTTACTAAGGCCACACCAATTTAATCTCTTGGTTAACGGATTTTTCTAGAAAAATAATGGAGCGGGCGGGCGAAAAAATAAAAGAAATAAAAACAGGCCTAGGCATCCTATTATGGCCCAAAATGGTACGATAGGAGCCATGAAGTCAACACACCAGGCTGGTTCAAAATTTAAACAATGAATTTTGAACTTTTAATGATACCACTGCATTGAAAGATAGAATAACTGTAACAACTAGCAAGGGAAGGACTGTTTTCAATTGTTCAGGGCAAAATATGAGCACTTTGCAGTTGATTCTGAATTTTTATTTTTTTTGCAAATCAGAAAAAAAATTAAGAGGCGAATCCGTTAACCAAGACATTAAATTGGTGTGGCCCAAGTAACTAGTAAACCAAGCTATGATAAAGTCTGTTAACTTGATACATAGTCAAACCCTTACCTTTGAAATGAACGGATTTGAGCGCAGCCGCGAAGCTCTGTTCTGCCATTTCTAGATGCCCTGTCTGCAGGGCCCTGCAGCCCTCACGCATGTGTTCTTGGTATGTACTGTAGAGGAGGAGTAGCAATTGGTCACCTTATTGGAATAGTGTTAGCCTGATTCCGTTATAACCTTACGTCCTCGACCCAATGCATTATTCAGTGGAATTCTGACAAAACCAAGTATTCCGTTGATTTTCTCTTTCTTAGTTAGGCCACAGCAAGAAAATTTTATGGATGACATCCTCCGCAGACTACAAATCTAATGCGAGCGGGCGAAAAAAAACAAGGCGGGCCAAAAGGTTCCTAAAATGTAAAATTTTGACTCAATCATTGTACAAATTGTTTTGAGTCAGTAGGAACATCTCATATACACCTTCAACATCACATATCAATGCATCAAAGTAAGAAACAAACATTAAATCAGAGCCTTTTCTTGTCTCCTCTCTTCCTAGTTATCTGTCATCCACCTTCCAGCATGACAACAGACACCTTTGCCCATTTTCGGCATGTTGACCACTGTCAGAAGGTAACAAAATTTCTTGTATTTTTTTTCAAAATCAGGCGAAAATTAATGCGCGCGCGGATGCCATCCATAAAATTTACGTGCTGTGGTCTTAATTGAAGCAGGGTCCACGTTACAGACCTTTCGTGCTTTCTCCTATCCATGACGTCACAGGTTTCATGAGCCAGACTGGGAGGTGCTGTGTGCAAGCTGTCATTTCCACCTTTTGTACCCTGAACATGTTTTGTTTCTAGGCGCTTCTTAGCCTTTTAAAAAAGGAACAAAATGAAACAAAGGTTAAGTTTGCCTTTTATTTTAAACTAAAGTTCGGCGACATCATACCTCTATGAAATATGTTGTAAATCTTCTGCATGGTGATGACCACCTATAATCCTCCTCATAAGCAAACGTTTATGCAAAATATCCACATAGCTCTTACTTAGTAGCATGCAACAAAGTAGTGAAATCTTGATAATTTACATGTTACATGAACAAAGTATGATATATTGGTTATATGCAAGTTAGAGACTAATTTTTAAGTTCCATGCTACAAGAGTTTCAAGATTTTATACCTTCGCAAATCATGTTAATCCTTCAAGCTGACTAATTATGCATCTTACAGTGGATATGCAATTTATAATAGCCTCATTTGAATGGATTTTATTAGCTTATCATAGTCTGCACCCAACGACAGTTTTATGTTATGAAATAAGACTATTCTAGCATTACCTCAAAAATTATGTAAATAAGGTCCTGATTTGGAAAAAAATATGAACTTTTAAATTTTTTTGATTATTTATGCAAATTAGGTTATTATTTTTAAAATGAACATCTGCCAATATTCCTGTCGTTCCCAATTACGTATGTCACAAGTGTTTCTTAACCCTATAAACGAACACAGCAGAATTTCTTCATTAATTATGTAAATAAAGTCCTGATCGAAATATTACGGTTTGCTACCTTAGCTCCTTTTCCCTTGACTTTCTCGGCGTACTTGATGCGGTGCCTCAGCGCTTCTCTGCCGTCTGAATCTTCACAGCGGTCCAGCGCCGCTCGGTACAGGTCAGCTGACTTCGTTAACGCTGCCTCGTCCTTGTCAACCCTTCCCTTCTCTAGGTACACATCTCCGATACTTTTCAACGATTCTATTTGCAGTCGTTTTTTTCTTTCCACGATAGCTTTTATGAAGGAATCTGTATAACCTTCAATTAGAGGAGTCAAGCCATACCCTTTCTCCTTGGCCTTCTCTTCCATTTCATATAAGGTCATCGATACAGCCAATGTGGTAGTCACTGAATTCCCAGTCCCCAAATTCATTGGCTCTTGAACTGACAGTTTTGTACATTTTTCTGCATAATTGATGCGATGTTGTGCAACATGTTTCTCCTCAATACTTCTGTAGTAGTTCAAAAGTTCTGTGTACAAAGAAATTGCCCTATTGAAGTTCTCTGCTTTATCACGATTTCTCTTTGCTTTATACAAGTATAGATCTCCGAGACTTTTCAAAGCTTCGCACTCCAAGACATAGTTTTGACTACATATGGCGTGAATCAACTTATTTGCGTATCCTCTTTTTACTACATCTAGATCAGAACCAGTGCTAAATATCAGGTCCAGTTCCTGAAACTCCTCCACCGCGTTGGACAGTTTTGCCTTTGTTTGTGACATAATTGTTCCTCGTGACAAGGTACAGTTATCTTGTGAAATCAAAATCAATTCTTTGACTCTCCATTTGTTTTCAGTACGGTAAGATAGGGTTTGTTGTCCACTAGTGTTTACAAATTGTCTCAGTTCCGTAATATAGAGATAAACCTAATCCATGTATACGTAATATTTACAGAGCGCAACATATTAAAATTTAGCTCTACACAGAGCACTACACAAGTTGGTCAACTACACTCTTCTTTATAGTCCTGAGAAAGAATGGAAGGGATAGGCATTATTGAGATCCTGTAGTTTTGCTGTCGTCTGTTACGACAAACTTTTACGACTGTGGTTATCACAGTACCGCTGTTTGTGTTAGACCCTGGACTTTACATTACGAGGATGATGCAATGAAGCTGACGTAAGGACCCTGTAAATATTCTAGTGCATACATTGAACACATCGTGAGAACGTACTGCGCAAAACCCTACTTTTTTGTGGTTTTCGTTGGATGTTTCTTCAACGTTCAATTAAAATTTTGCAGACGATATCTTTTCTGACATAACATTTGGAACTACAGACAAAATGTTAACCTTATATGCAACCTTATATGAGAGGTTCTGCCGAAGTAAAATGCACAATACATTACGTCTTTGGTGCTGGTGCTCTGCTTACGTTCTGCCGACGTGCCCATACATGGGTTAGTCAAGGAAGACCTGTTTGATCCTAACAGTCACGTATTTCAAAACAACTGGTCACGCGCTAGTCAGGTGATCCTTGTTGATGCTTAAACACGGCCTATTAAGTTCCACGTAAAATATTAACTAGTAGGTCAATGCGATAACCCAAGAGGCACCTTGTTTTTGTGGGGCTTTTTACATATGCATGCCACATCAGCGTTGTATTTGTTTCCAATAAACAAATTAAAGTGAAAACTTTTTGCTTGTGACGTTGTCGTTAAAATTTTAAAAATGTCATCTCTAAATATCATTGAAGCACAGTATCAAGCAATAGTGACGACGCCATTAGTAGAATAATATGAACAGCCGTACATACCCGTACAGTCTTGTCAGGTCGATGTTGTTTAGGGCATTACAAAGAAGGTAGAAAGGTGGACCAGTTTATTTCTAATTCACTGGCCATCTTTCCGCTACGATTAAAACTAGTGATCTCAGCTGGCTGCCGGCACTGGCGGGGGAAAGAGGAAGTCCTCAGCTGTAGCCACACTTTTATACCATGTGGGGGTGTCCGGGAAGGGGGTTTTCATGATTCTGGAGTAGCACTGTTTCTGATTGGTTACTCAAAGGTCATGCGAGCAAGTCCTGGTGAACATGACGCTCTCATTGGATAAAACATTCAGGTGACCTCGTTTTAAAATAACTGGTCTTGCACACGGTGTCTTGCAATAGTTAAATCATGTCATATCATGATGATGATGATGATCTGTTTTTTTTTTACACTTCATATACGGCCTACCGCTGCATGTAAATATTACCTGTATGTCAATGATTGAATTTAAAATGCACCTGTTGGTTTTGTGCGAGAAAATGTTTGAAAGGGTCAAAAATCGATTTGTCTAGAATAGTTTGCACAGTGATGGTATTTAGCCCACAACCCCTCAAAATAGCTTTCTTTCCGGGCAACACCGATTGTTGCCATGGTAACGGCCAAACAAGTTTTGGGGCCATTTCCTCTGCTTTGGTCATGTCAAAAACATGAAAATTATCACAGATTAGGACACAAGTATGAACAAATGATTGAATAATACGGTGTATCAGAAACTTGGCTAAAACAGAACAACTCATCTGCTTTTTTAGCTTTTAAATTTTCAAGATGTCCTGTTTAAAGGCCTTGGCAACGATGAAGCTATACGGTGTTTTTTTTTTGTTATTTTTGCACATCTTTAAAGTTTATAAGACCAAAGAAGATGTAGAGGTGCTTGAAATTGTAATCAACGCATAATTAGCGGAAAACATTTTATAATTAAATATAGAACTATATTTTCGACCTATATTAAAAAAAAACAGCTGCAGAAATAGGCCTGACCCCTTATGTTTTAATGACTTTATTTATTGAAAAAGAGTACTGATTTCAATGCTCAAAGTTCCCGTAAAATAGACAAGACAGAGCAGCGACTTACAGACGCGTTCACGTCGGTACCAAAGCATAGACGTACGTACAATACGATGAATAATCCAACATGCTGGCTTTGGCATGTTACTTACTTGTTCTATCTTTAACCCTACCTAGACCGGGCTTTTTTTGACATGGGGGGACCG